ATCGAGATCGGGCGGTACCCTAACCCCCAAATCGCGCAGCTCTCTCTCAGTTTCCACCTCTCGTTCTCTGGCGCTTGCCTTCCTCGGTCACGATTAGCACCAGCCAGTGGTCATCTCTGACCGCTCTGTTCGGCCCTTGGTTCGCGAATCTCCGGGGTCCCTACAGGTGTCACGATTGGTGGCCTTCCCTCTGTCGCCGACGAGTATGTGTCGGGTGGTGGAACTCCTCCGGTCTGTGTCGGTTGGTCTCTCATCGGTCGTCGGTTGTCTTCAATTGGAGGTTAGTGGCTCCCGTTCTTCTTCTTCTTGTTGGTTTGTCGGAGGTCTCCTAGGTCGGCCTCGTAGTTCTCGGTGGGGCCTTCGGTGGGTTTGGGCTATGGTCGTTGGCGGTTTGCAGTGGATTGGGAGGCGCGTGGGCCGGGGGTAAGGGCGGGACCCTGGAAGCTGTGGTTGTTCCGGTTGCGGCGGCTGGGGTTGAGGAACCGAGCCATCCTCACTCTTCCCCTTTCGGCTAGTGGTGTTAGGGGACGGGGGTCCCAGTTCAATCGAGCTTGTCTAGTGGTGTTAGACGGGTTTGAGCCGGGGTTGGAGTGGGGGCGATTTGTCTTTCTCTCAGTCGGTGATGGGTCGATTCAGGGATTGGTACGTGGCTCGAGGTTGGCTGCTGTATAGACATTTAGGAAGTTTCGGTAGTGTTTCTTCGGGCTTCATATCCTTCTTGTGTCGATTGTTCACTGCTGACTGAGTCTGATCGATTGCTGGAGAAGAGACTTTTGTGTTTATTTAGTTGTTCTGTTTAGTGCTTGTGTTGTCTTAGTTTATGTTTTTTGTTTGGGCCACTTGGTCTGTGTTGTTCCTCGTTTGGTGTTTTTGGTTTGGGTCGTTGGCCCCTGTATTGTGCGAGCCCGGTTGTGTTCGGGTATTCTCCCTAGGGGAGCGTTCCATCTTCTCCTGTTGGGAGCTCTGTGTTTCTTTGTTTGGGTTGTAGTGTCGATTGTGTTTGAGTCTTGTTTTGGCTTCTAGCTTGGCTAGCTGCGGTTCTAGGCGGTCTCGTACCTGTCCTCCCACTTTTTCAGCGTTGGTTGTATTTCTCAACTTTGGGCTGTTCTTTGCACATTTGTGCGTTTTGATTTATAATATATCTATCGTTCTGTAAAATATATATATAAGTTGCTGTTTAAATCATTTGTAGTAACTTTTGACTAAATAAATAATTATTTGACATACTATATATAGACAATTTAATAAAACCAAAAGAAACTGAAATAAATCAGGCATACCATGTTTATCTAAAATTATTTATAAATTAGAGTTTTGTTTGGCTATTCGAGACTTAGTATGTAAATAAATCAGACATACCATGTTTATCTGAAATTTATTTGGCTATTTGTGAATATCTATTATTATATAAAGAGACAATCCAAAAACCTTAAACTAAAATATAATTAGGAATTCCGCCTAAATATTTATTAAACAATAAACATAGTAGTATTTTTGGAAATTTTGAAAGCTCCCGCCTAAATGTGAATTGGATTTTATTTTTATTTTTTTTAAATTGAAGTTGTATGAGAATGTACAGGAACAATCAGGATAACACCTAAACAAATGAAACATGAACTAAAAGATTCATCCAATTGCAGAAGCATAACTTCACAAAAACTGGACTTTCGGAAGAGCGTCTCACTCTTCCTTCAGATCTCTTTCATTAATGTAGATATCACAACCATTATTCAAGGGTTTACAATGCAGACTCCCTCTACATTCTACTTAAAATAATGATCTACACTATTACTTATCCGACCACAAATCCCTTGTGGTTTTATTAGTTTGACTCCATCAAACTAATCAGAATGAACCTCCGAACAATCTGTTACAATTCATTACAATTAACTCAAAGTGATCAAGAATCGATACTTGATTACCACTCAATAAAAATACAAAGCTACAAAAATCTCAAATACTGTACAAAATGATCAAGAAGCATCACCACTCTTCATCCGCATCCTTCTCCTTTTATATTAGCTCACATATGGTAAGTTTTAACCAAGTCTTCACTGCCAAGCTACGTCCCAGAAGGAAAGTCCTTGATTGATTCTGTCGACTCTACTTTTGTAAGGTCTAAATCAGCGGTTGAATATTCTCCATAAGGAAAGTGCATCTGGTGGATATCTAATTATCTCTGCGTAAAAAAATCACGCATTAGTCACTTTCAATTAACTATTATCTAAGTAATTAAACTAAGGGGAGTGTATTCAATTATGATTTTTAAAGACTTTTAAGACTTTAGAATCCCCGTGTATTCAATTTAGATTTGTTAAGACTTTTCAAGACTTTAAAAAATCCTAAGGTATTCAATTGAGATTTTCAAAAGTCTTACAAAATCATGAGGTATTTAATTTATTTAACTTTAGGATTTATTAAGACTTTTAGAGATTTGATGGGATTTCTAAACAAAAAACCTTATACGAAATTCCACTTCAAATCCTACCTCCAAACTTAAGATTTCATAGAATTAAAAAGTCTTAAATTGAATAGTAAACTTCCCCTAATTATTCTTGAGCAGTCTGAACATGGGGACAGATGAAGGTTCGTCGATTTATAGCCAATCTTCAAAACTTGTATTTTGGGTTTGAGTCTCTTATAAGAAGTACTAGTCAAACCTCCGAGCTCAGGCTTTTGTCTATGCCATCGGTTAGATTATTACTCCCTATTTTTGTTTCTATTCTTTTGAGTTAGGACACCGAGTCTTGGTGTTCCATTGTTTACCTCTGGTCCTATTTGTACTCTCTTTTGGAGCTATAAAATAATAACATATTTAGTGAAGCTGATGAACTTTAAAAAAAAAAAATCATTAAAAACATAGAGTAATGCTCCCCTACCAACGGTGGACATATTTTAATATGCCCACCGCTTATGTGGCATGCACACATTGATGATGTATTTTTTTTATCATATTAACATCACCAATGTGTGCATGCCACGTAAATGGTGAACATATTAACATGTGCCCACCGTGGGTAAGTGAGCATTATTGTAAAAACATAAAGAAAGAAAAAGCAGATAGAAGTATGCTCCCACCCACGAGTGTACTCGCGTGCATTTTAGAAAAATATTTACCACTCAATCCTAAAGAGCTTTTTTGGAATTTGAGATAACTAGAGAATGAGAAAGTATATAGTTGGATGAAATTGTTGAAGAAAATAGAGAATACTTGTGATTTACTAGTTGTCTTTAAATGAATCTGAACGAGGCTTCCCACTCCGAAGAGGGCCATGTCGCGGGCCCAACCAATTGGATCCATCACGTGTCACAAGCTAGGGTAGGTTTACAAGTACAAGCGCCAGATTCAAGTCCATCTATCCGGCCCAACCGAGCTTCTTGAAATGTATTCTTGCTACGATTATATTGATGTGCTGCTTCACACTGGACCGGCTCTCCTTGAACCCAACCGGTTTGAGCCCTCCCAAAACCTGCAAAGACACCGGGAAGTGTTCTCGACGGTGAACCTCCGACGCTCAAGTTAGTAGGGTATTGAAGAAAGCTCAGTTCGTATATTAGAGTTTTTGTGAGGTAAAAACTTAGACATTACCGTCATACCTGCTCTACCTATTTATATGCAAGTCCTTAGCTTCCTCCACACGCTTGCTTCTTCATTTGTGATAATCTGCTGATGTGATAACTATTAAGCCCATTTAAGTGTCAGCCCACTTCTTCAACCTACTTGACCTATTACTCTGGCCGATTTGTTATTGGGCCGAGCCCGTACATTGACAGACTATTACATCTGGCCGATCCACAACCCTGCAAACACATTTCCGGCTCATAAACCGAGCTGACTTCTGCCGGTCTACCCAAAGTACTCTCCTGTGCTATATCATATATAATCACTGAAACTTCTAAAAGTTACGACGAATCAAAATTATATTCTTCTCGGGACTTTTTTTTATTTTATTTTTTTCAATATGACAATTAGAATTAATTATCGAACAAAAACGTCATTCACTCTCTACATCTACATAATCCCCCTCCCCCATATATTAATCCAGAACGCGCTGAGCCTACGTGGCTGCTTCTGATGCTTCGGAATTCTATGTGGCAAAATTACATGTTTCATTATTAGGCTTGAGTAATTTTAATTTAATTCCAAACCAAAAATAATTAGGTTTGGATTACCATAAATATGTTGATTATTTATGGTCATGTTACATGCATTAATTGCATTTTAATATCATTACTTATTGTAGCTATTGAATTGTATATGTATTTTAAAAGTTAATAACTTTTGTATTTTTTATCAATTTTACATATGTAATATATCAAATTAATCTTTTTTTGATGAGCTTCGATTTAACATCCATATTGTATGTATACAAAAAATAAGTTATATTTATCTTTATAGCAATAATAAAATTATTTTTAATATTAATTAGAAAAATAAAATTATTTATCAACTAATATATTTATATTTCAAATAGTTATATGATATAAATTATAAAAACTAATATAATATAACACATGTCAGTCATAAGTAACACATATCATTCTAAAATATATAGTAATATATTTTTTTTTCGTAAAAAAGTAAACTAAATTTAATATAATTTTTTCATTAATTTTAAAATTTAAGAATAATTTTTTAACAAGCACCCGTATAATACACGGTTGTTGTATTAGTAAATACGATATATATGTAAAACAAGTAGCGGTCGATTGATTTCATAACAAATTCCTTTTAAGTTCAGAAAATTGAAGTACCGTTGTATTGCAGCAAAATCACAACATCGAGGGAGATAACAAATCCCTACACCTACATGACCTCATATTACGATATTGAAAATTAGTGTAAATAGGTATCAAAATTCAAAATTTAAGGAACCACCCCTTCCAAAGGAAGATTGAGACATAATAACAACCAGCAAAACACTCACCACCTCTTATAATTTATTTGCATAATTCTATAACTTTCTTACAGGATCTCCCAACCCGAACACTGTCGAATATCAAGCTCCCGACCCATTACTCAACTGCAGAGTCATCTTAATGTTCATGGCAGCCAACTCAGCAGCTAAATATCTGAACACGTAGGGCATGGCAACTGTCTCCATCCCTTTGCTCGTCTTGCAGGCCACGCAAGTCACCTTCTTGGGGTTTCTGATTGGTGGCAGGCCTCGACCAATCATATCATGCACCACCTTTTTCTGCGATTGGACAATTGACGTGCTCAAAATGCTACCACAGAGTGAGCACACATCGGCAATGTGGTAATCAGAGCTTGTGTGGAGCCTGTCGTGCAACAGGTAAGCAGCCCCATGGGCTAGAAGAGAGTCCCTCTCCATCTCTCCAAAGCGGACCCCACCACCGCGTTTTCTGCCCTTGATGGGTTGCCTTGTCACCTGATCGACTCTTCCTGTGGAACGGACCTAAAAATATATTTGACATTAAAAAAAAAAATGAAGTTACTTTCTACCAGGAACCCCATACAACGGAGTGGAGTATTTTGCAATCTCTTGATGAAAAAAATTCTTCACGTTTTCTTTTTTTTTGCAATCTACAAAAAGTATTTACTTTTAGAAAATATAAAATAATATATCTTATTGAAATTGGAAAGCAAAGAAACAGGCGTTTAGGATGCAATAGCTTTTTACACTTTTCATTTCAGAAATTTCCTGCAGGTAAGAAATGACAAATTTCTCTTTAAAGAAAAATTTTCAGAGTGGATGGATACGAGAGGAAAATATAAGGGAAAGATGTGGAACAATGATCAATGCTTTGTTTAAAAATATGTCCAAACAAATGATATGTAAAATAAAATGAAAGTGGAGTGATAGTGTATTTTCATAAATTTGTTTTTATGAGAATGTACCCTTTGAATTAATATATGTAATATGACAGTAAACTCCACTCATTTGCACCACTCACTTGCAACGAAAAAATTATGCATGTATATGCAGCATATCATGCAACAAAAGATGGCAAAGGATAATATTTGGTTGCAGGGAAAAACTCGCACCTGAAATTTATCCGAGACCATATGGCGAAGACGCTGATAGTACACTGGCCCGATAAATATTTCACATGTCAGCTCTGTACCATAGACCCCACTGTACAATACCTCCACACCATGGTGGTTGAACCCACGTGCAACCAGCATTGAACCGAGTTCATCTACAAGTGAACTCTTGTCAGATTCCGAATTTGTTTTCATGGAGCTCGAAAAAGGTGTTGAATCAACAAAATTTCCATGCAAGGCACCTCCCTGCAATTACACGTGAAATTTGTGGGATTTTAAGTCAAGATTATATCAAAGCTTAAGATGCTTTAAGATCTCAAAGTTTACAGATTAGTAATATTTAACTTTTATCTCTGTCAGCCAAACTGGCACTGCCCTCTGAAGAAGAACAATCAGAAGAATTATTTAGATAAAGTAACCAGCACAACGTAAACATTCAGTTTTTAAAAACGATACTGAATTAGACTCCAAAGATGAAAATTGGGGTCTCAAAGAGTTCCAAATCAATTGATTCTTCAAACTTGATTGGGTTAAAGTGCCAAATAATGCAAACCTTACAGCAACAAAATATGTATGCTCACTGGACATACCTTGGAAGCTATCGACTCTAAAAGCATAGCAATTGTCATCCTAGAAGGAAATGCATGAGGGTTGATAATAAGATCTGGCCGCATTCCAGTAGTTCCTGAAAAGGGCATATCAATATCTGGCCATAGCTGAGAGCAAACTCCCTTTTGTCCGTGCCTACTGCTGAATTTATCACCGACTATAGGATTCCTAGGATACCGTAAGCGGATATTCGCCTGCACAGAATGAGCAAAAAGATCTTCCTTTATCCTAGCTATTTGGAATAGCATAAATGTACTCTTCATTTATATGTGAAATACCAATAAAAAAAAAAAACTCATGCAGTGTCGATTTTGATTAGATGAGAAACTAATTATCACCCAAGAACAAAATATAACCTAGACAGTTATGGTGCAACTAGGAACTGGTTATCAGATTTGTATAAGTTAACATACCTTCTGTATACGAGTTTTGCCTTTAACATCGACAGCAGAATAATCGACATAGGCAGGTTCTGAACTTTTTAACTTGTTTGTAGTAACTTTACTTGTGATCTCATTGTAGATACTATAATAAGGATCACCGGGGCCGATCCTCTGAAACAAGTTTATCAAATATATATTAGTTACCATCGTTTAAGAAATAAATCAAAAGCAAACATATATATACACACACACATATGTATATTGCATACCTGGCCAACATAGGGAAGCCCATCAGAATCAATGAAACCATGACTCGCCTTATCCAGATTGCTTCTCCCAAATGATCTTTGGGTATTGTTTCTTTGCTCAGTCAAATCTATAGTTTCTGTCTGCAAAAAGTATGCCATCAATGTAGACAGAATTAATAAACTCTTAAGTTAGTGTCTCCATGTGTGCATGCTTGTTCAACCAAAACACATGCACTTAATTAATGGCGGCAGAGAAAAGGAGAAAATTACGAGTTTCTAAACATAATTTGATGAAAATACCCCCACTTCATCACGAAGATTGTGCATGGAATTGATCATGTATACTACCCCACATGTAAAAAGGTGAAAGACAGCATCTAATAGTTGAAAAGATCCTTTATGCAGTACATTACAAAATAAAAAGCCATTTTATAATTTAAGGACAGGTTCATTACTAGTATACCTGATAAATGTATCCACGGCACATACCACGATCCACAGAAGATTTGTTTAGTACCATGGCATCCTCCATATCATAGCTGCAATGAACACTAACACATGTAAACAAGATTCTGAGAGGATACCGAAAAGAAGTATGCTGATTATTACCCTGAATATGCTAAAACAGCCACAATAGCATTAGTTCCCAAAGGATAGTCATCAATGTTGTACTTTTCGTATGTCTTTGTGCGCACAATTGGGGTTTGGGGTGTCTGCAAAAGCATTTCGAGAGTTAAACAATGACAAAAGTAAGACTGAAGCCCCGAGATGCTGTTCAATATAAACCAACAATCAGTGAAACTAGGCGGATCTCCTAAGATATCCCATCTAATACAAAAATAACCCATAATGCAATATCCTCCTGAAAATGATTACAACAGAAGGGAAAAGAGAAGAAAAGAGAAACTCAGAAGGACTTTATTCAAACACTTGGAAAACATAACATGACCAAGACTAACCTGAAGATGATAGATCTTTTGATCAGCTCGAGCACTGATCGCTTGACAAGAGAAACCCATTGTTTGTTTTGCCATCTATTACAAGAACATGGCGAGAAAAGTCAAAAACCCAAATGTTTGCAATGGGGACCCAGAAAGATTTTGAATCCTCCTGAAAAAAATACCTGACACTGGTACATATTGCGAGGACTCTGATTATGGTCAGACCAAGGTGTAAGGTTAGCAACAACGCTCAATATGCCAGTTGGATGAATTTCCTCATGAGTTGCAGGAAACACATCCTTCCTTCCTCCATTTCCACCATCTGGACAGCGTATTTCCATGTAGACCTGCATAAAAGCATGATGACATTTAATGCAGAAGAGTATTGTTAATCAAGTGAAAATGGTATTACACACAGAAGATATGGTATGCATTGTGGCTAGACGAGTAGGCCCACCTGTTCCAAGGGCCCAATGTGTTCAATATCATTCTTCTCTTCAGAAGATATCAGAAGATTCCGGACAGGTCGGACAAATCTGGATGCAGATGTAAACAGGTACAGCCCAGGGTATGCCCCACCCAAGCTCAGAGGAATATAACCAACCTCAAGATCTTCAGGTATCTGATGCATGTTAACTAAAATGAGTTGCAGCCTATGATATTATTTATTTATTCACTTAAGTTTCTGGTTTCCTTATAGGAGGAGTTAAAGAAAAAACCACACCGTAGAAGCTGCTGAAACCTTTAACCTCCGCAAGTGAGAAACAGCTTTTTGTATCAAATCAGATGCAAAAGAACCTACAACACGACCATCAAGAAGAACAGGAAGAACTTCAGGAGGGCCCGCTTGTTCGAGCCTAGGTAACGATGGAGTCATGCCAATGCCAACCAAAACTCTTAAAATTGACTTTCGGACTTCAAGAAAATCCTTTACTTTCCCTTCAGAATCATAATACGAAGTTATGCCTGTCAAATAGTAGACAAAAGTTATCGGCGGATATAAAAGCCCCCATGATCCAAGTAAGATCTTAGACAGTGCAGCTTCCACAATGAAGTTCCTTAACATGTCAATTGGTGATTGCAAACATATCTTGTGAGAATTTGCCCTTTTCTTTTCTTTAGTCGTGAAGGAGAACACATTCAACAAATTTTATCCTAACGCATATTATATAGTTCAAAATTTCCACAATCGATGGTCGAAACCATTGATTGCCTTAACATGAGATTGGTATTAATCATCTGTGAGCATAACAATTTCCAGTAGTTACTCGTTAGTTGTTCAGCATTGTCAGCAATGAATGTTTCATTACAGCATCTGCAAGTGAAATTTCAGAGGAAATCATAAACAAAAATGCCTCAAGTCTCTTAACGTGTAGTTTTGAGAATATACAGGTACAAATATTTACTTCAATGTATCCATGCTAGCTTTTGAATTTCTTACCATGGTCAGTATTCCTCACTTCTTCATCTCACTTATTCTCAAAAGAAAAGAGAAAAAAAAA